TTTAAGCTCATTATATGTGGTTGACAATTTCAAGTCCGAGCAAGACAACTGGAATGGAGTTCGATCAGAATGTCAGACGAATCCTTTCACTATGGATGCCTGGGGCGTCACAGTTTCTATGGACACTCTCTCATTATGAACCCATTATACAAAGGAAAGCATCTATTCCAATTAGCTTAAGGAAATTGACTTGTCAGATGGATGGGATTGAGGCTTCGTTTGGGATGGCTTTTTTACTGCTTCTTAAAACGGAGTTCTATTACAAAAATTTAAATTTTTATACTAGAACTCCGTTTTAAGAAGCAATAAAAAATCCTTCATAAACGAAGCCTGAAGCTACTTGGGTATAATATATAGTGAGGGAATGGTGTGCTTAAGAAAATTATTCTTAACCAACTTGGATTAAGTGAGTCAATTAGGGTTGGTTTGGTTTAGGTTGTGTTAATAAGCTTCCTATGGATAAGATAAAGTCTAGGAAACCTAATGTAACCATTGGTAGTAGGTCCAATTAAGCTTCAAATTGGCTTTAGGCTCACCTAAACCAATTTGGGTCAAATTGAGTTTATTTGGGTTCAATGATAAGCTAGTTTGGCTAATATATTTGTTATTTTGGATCAATTAAAATGTCATAAACCCTTAGAGCTGAAATTTGACTGATCGTGCTCCTAATTATACTATTGGCACAATTTAGAATAGCTTAGGCTTTGGTTGGGTTCAATTGGAGATTGTATTGATCCAATGTGCCTTAGCTCATATTATATTGTTCTAAAGATCCTAAATATAATTTGGCTTAACTATTAATTGAATTATTTTTTCAATGAATACACTTATTGTAGAAGGTATAACTAATAAATGCAAGTGTACTTGAGAATTAAATGAAAATGTTTTGGTACGAACTTGGAACTACTATGACATACGTAAGGTTGTTGATCAAGATATTGATACCAAAACTCAAACATTAAGAGTCAAGCATCAAGACAAAATATGGATGATCTAAATAACAAGGAAATATAAGTCGAGTAAATAATTACACTTTTCATTTTTTTGTGAGTGCTCAATTTAATTTTCCAGTAAATAAACTTGTGAAAAATTAGCACACATGCATGCACACACACATAGACAAAAGTAAGCGACAAAAATAATCTCAAAAAATTAAAAATAAGCTTGTGCATCAATTGGTTATTTTCATATCTCTTCTACCTTATTCCTTTTATGTTTTATAGTTGAGTGCAAACGAATATTACTTAATTGAGTTTGTAAGAGATCGATGAGATCTTGAAGCCTTTGTATTGTAAGTGAGGACTTATTGGTGGCCTAAAGCAGTTGTCTTCTATGAAGTAGAAGAAGAGTGTGTAAGGTTCTCCATTATCAATCAAGGTTGGGTCTTCTCAACTCGGTTGTGGTCGAATAAGAGAGTAGTGAATCTTTGAGTTGGATGGTTGAAGGTGTGGATAGAAGTGATAGTGTCAAACCGCATAAAAATTAATTGGCACACCCTTTTTCTCGATCTTGCTTTGTATTTTAACATTAATATTTTTCCACTAGTGTATTTCTTACGCTATGGTTGAAAATGTCGATGATTATGACGCTATTACTTGATTATAGATCTCTATGTTTTATTTCACTCTTATTGTTTAACAAATGATCCATTCAACAACATTAATGGTTATCATATGTATTTTTATTTCTCTAATAAATTTTGCTTTTGAATTAAAAAATCATCTTGTTGATTTTTGTATTTTAGTATATTATTTTAAATAAAAAATATTTAAAAATTAGCAATACTAATTCACCCCTCCTAGGTGCTGTCATTCATTTTCGGTCGGTATCAAGATGATTTAGCACAATTAAATTTAAAACATTTAAATTATTTATTTATTGCCCTTAATTTTGAAGACTATATACGTGTATACACTTGCTAGATGAATAAGGAGATTTGAGATAAATTGTGCATTACGTATAAGACAACGAACAATTTGCTCATGCATGCTTATGAACTGTTTTTTATGCAACATAATGCATGAAAAAAAAAATTACTTAGTAGATTTATTAAAGTCATTATTACTTTATTGTGTGATTTGTTTAAATAGTATTCCAATACCGAGTTGGTGAAAAAGATTTGACTTAGAAGATCCTACTTCTATACTTTTCTACTCTGTTGGGCCTTTCTCTTTTCCTAAAATATTAAAAAAATTCATAGAATGAGCACCACTAGCTTGGTAGAATTCCTTCCAAAACCTATCACAAACATTAATATCCCATTAAAATATTATATAGAAGTTAAGTGATTGCAAAATTCATTTAATAGTGCATGAATTACCCATATTTCAATGTCACTTAATTTCACAGTTCGTGCTTATAACTTTAGTAATACTTTCATAGAGATATCAGAGACACCACAAAACACTTGTTGCTAGAGTCTTGATTGCACTTGCCTTTCACATTTTAGTAGGTTTCATATAGAAAATTAGAAACTACTAACATTCACTATAACATATTACATATACTTGATTCAATGAACTATTAACATATGTAATACAATAATTATAATGGATATGTACCAATGGCTGGTTATAACTTTACTTCCACTTATGTCTCGTTATCTCCCATAGCTAAATATAATAAGTGGGGCCAAAATAAGAACAAAATAGTGTCACATAATCTCCAACACTCACTTTCAACAAGTGGGGCCAGAATCACTTCCACATCCTCACTAAATATATGGGGTCATAAAATAATATACACGGCCCTCATAACATATCAATGAGTGCACTTCTCCACATATTATAACATCTCCATTGCTATACTATGAACAATATAATGCAAATATAATAGTAACTAAATTATAATTTTAACACAATGCTCAGATGATGCATGAATTACCAATAAACAATCACATCATATGTATAATATAATACCCACAAAACTTTACCTATTAAATTTCCATCTTTAGAGGAACATTCAAATTAATATTTTAAAACTTTTATATAACTATTGTAATTTTCAAAAAATCCTCAATCAAATCAAATACCCAAAAATTTGTATAGGAAAAACCAGTTGGAAAAAAATTGATTTTTTATAACCAAAATATTTAGAATAGAAAGTATGACAACATATTAAAAGTTATACGTTGAAAATACAGTAAATCCAAGAAAAATATATTTTTATCCACATCCTTTTTTAAATTAATGGAATTAAAATCAGATATATGAGTTCAGAGGTCTACCTCATACTCTATAAAATCCCTAATTAGCCTAACAGACGAAACCTAAGCTTTGGCTGCCAAAACCTCTCCCTTTCATTCTCTCTTTTTCTTCTCCTTTATTACCATCCTCTCATCTCTCGTAAATGGCTAGCACAAGGGGGAGATTAATAGTGATTTTAAGTATTTTATTATTTAAAAAATCACTAATTTATTCTAGCACCATAGTTCTAGTGCCACAGTGCTGAGCTGAATCTTTTGGATTCACCTATAATCTTTTAAAATATATAACACGACATCATGACAGCACTACCCAATACCGCAGTGCATGTTCAAAACTACTCTCTCACCAGAGAGCTCAACACCACAACCCTGTCATACAAGTGTTGTGGCGCTCCTAGAGGAAAAATTAAATGAATAAAAATTTGCTTCACAGTCCAACTCTTGGTTCACTTAAGGCCTTCGTAAACACTCTATGACATATACTTATCATGTGAATCAAAATTAGACAAGCATCAATGATAAAAATTAAAGATAGATATTTATTTATTTTCAAATCTCTTTAACACTAGTCATTAGTTTTAAATTATATGACCATATTCTCTATTACATCCCCAATCATGCATGAAACTCAAGTATCATAATAATTCCAAGCTAGCACCGATCAAATCATATTTAACAAGACAACTAGAATCGATTTGAAGGATTGAACAATAATTTGAACATATATTGAATAATCCTAAAGATTCTTCAAAGAAGTTCAAATACTCTATGTATAACATTATTAACCTTCACAGATAATAAATGGAGATATTTCGTCATCATGCAAAATTTTTGCACTATGTTGGAAACAAAGAATGAACTTGAGAGATGACGTTGTAGAGCTTATATAATGGAAAGTCGCATAATACTACTGAGCGAGTGTTCCATCTATTTGTTAAAAAATAGAATATATTAATCTAAATAAAATAATTGAACATATTTCTCATAGTAGATATGTTTTTTAAATATAAGATATTATAGAGCATATTAATTTTTTTTTAATATTGAGTGTAATTCCCCTTGTTTTTGTTATTTTCGCGCTGCACAGCCTAAAAAAATCTTTAGGGGCTATTTGACAAAAGTAGGACATAACTTTAGTAGGATTTAGTAAATCCTAAAGACAGTTTCGCAAAATAGTTGTTAAATCCTATTAAATCCTATGAAACAGTTTGGCAACGTAATTCAAGATTTGTGACGGTTGGTTCGTTTAAAAATTAAATTTAATGTGTTATGAATTTAATTACATATTTAATACAAGTTACTTATTAATTTTAATTTTAATTATAGTTAAAAATTATAATAATAAATAATTTAATTAGAAATTAACTAAATTGTTGAATAATTTAATTACTAATTATAGTATTATTTATTAAATTACTTGCTTAGGTGTTAATTTAATAAATATATAATATCTAATTATATTAATAATTATATGATTGATTAGTTATTTTTTTAATAATTAATTATTTAACTAAAACTTTACTAATTATTTCTTTAATAGACTAAATGTCCAAAAAAAAAAACTTAATAATTCTACTACTCAATAACTTTTTAATTATTATTTATATTATTAATTATGTATTTAATAATTTTTATTTTAAATTATATTAATTAAGCTAATTATATTAATTTTAATGACTATTTATATTATTAATTATATAATTAAGTTAAATTAGAAAATTAATTTATGCTCTAATTATACTATTAATTAATTAACTAATTTGCTTACGGCGTCTAGGGTTTGCTTTTTATCTTCTGTATTTAGTCGTTGCCGTTCGTCTTCGTTGCTCCGGAGGAGGTGTAGTGCTTGCACGAGTCGCTTCTTCGGCTCTTTCGTGGCAGTTCGACTTCGCTCCTCCGACGACGCTTCCTTCCTGTCGGATCGGAAGTTGGATCTATCTTCCTAGCCACCGCTCCATCTCCCATCCCCCGCGGGCTGCCTCCGGTGATTCTCCAACCATGGCTTCGTCTGCTAAAGACGCTGACCCCAACCTTGGCTTTCTGACGAAGCGTGACACCGAGGTGAAGCTGCCCCGCCCCACCCGCGTGAAGAACAAAACCCCCGCTCCAATTCAGATCACTGCCGAGCAAATCCTCCGAGAGGCCCGCGAGCGCCAGGAACCAGAGATCCGCCCGCCCAAGCAAAAGATTACTGATCCCACCGAACTCGGTGATTACCGCCTCCGTCGCCGGAAGGAATTTGAGGACAAAATCCGTCGTGCACGATGGAATACCCGCGTCTGGGTCAAATACGCCGAATGGGAGGAGAACCAGAAGGATTTCGCCCGCGCTCGCTCCGTTTGGGAGCGATCTCTTGAGGTCGACTACCGGGAGCGCACTATCTGGCTCAAGTATGCGGAGTTCGAGATGCGGAATCGCTTCGTCAACCACGCGCGCAATGTCTGGGATCGCGCCGTTTCCCTGCTTCCTCGAGTGGACCAGCTCTGGTACAAGTACATCCACATGGAGGAGATGCTCGGTAATGTTGCCGGCGCCCGCCAAGTGTTTGAGAGGTGGATGGACTGGCAGCCAGACCGGGAGGGATGGCTTTCTTACATCAAATTTGAGCTCAGGTATGGAGAGATAGATCGTGCTCGCCAGGTTTTTGAGAGATTTGTTATGTGCCATCCTCGTGCTACTGCATGGATTCGGTATGCTAAGTTCGAGATGAAGAACGGTGAAATTGCCCGAGCACGTGCTGTCTATGAGCGTGCAGTTGATCTGCTTTCAGGCGAGGAGGATGAGGCAGAGGAGCTTTTTGTGGCCTTCGCAGAGTTTGAGGAGAAGTGCAAGGAGATTGACAGGGCAAGGTGCATTTATAAGTTTGCACTGGATCATATTCCCAAGGGAAGGGCCGAGGAGCTGTATAAAAAGTATGTGGCGTTTGAGAAGCAGTATGGAGACCGGGAGGGGATAGAGGATGCCATTGTGGGTAAAAGAAGATTCCAGTATGAGGATGAGGTTAGGAAGAATCCATTGAACTACGATTCATGGTTTGATTATATTAGGTTGGAAGAGAATGTTGGCAATAAGGACATGATCAGGGAAGTTTATGAAAGGGCAATTTCTAATGTGCCTCCTGCTGAGGAGAAGAGATATTGGCAGCGTTATATCTATTTATGGTAAAAATCAAAACACGGCCCTTAGTTTAACTTTTGTTTCCTCAATCCCATCCCCCGCCGAAGGAAATAAACCGCAGCCATGCATTAAGACTTCGTTAATTTGTGTTTCACTTGTAGGATTAATTATGCTTTGTTTGAGGAACTTGGTGCTGAGGACATGGACAGGACTAGGGACGTTTACAGGTAGTGTATGTCATGTTCAATGTAAATTCTTTTGTTTATTTTCAATATGAGTTGAATTCATATCATGATGTTTTATTACCATCTAGCACCATCTGGCATGTGTATATTTGCTTTATGTTCTTTACAATAGCTGCATTTAGGCAGCTAAATGCAGCTATTGGGCAACATGTTGCATCTTTTTCATATCCTTAAAGCTTGTTATTTTTCTAAGTCATAAGAAATTAAATTTTGGTTGTTATTGGGCTTTTATGACCTAAAATAACTTATTTTTCCTTGAATTTGTTGATGCAGGGAATGCATTAAATTGATTCCCCACAAGAAGTTTTCATTTGCTAAAATTTGGCTTCTAGCGGGCCAATTTGAGATACGACAGAAAAGTCTCAAGGCTGCACGACAGATGTTGGGCAATGCTATTGGAATGGCTCCTAAGGATAAGGTTAAATTCTTATTCTTTAGCATTCCATGATGCACCTCTTGAAAGAATGTATGTTCATGTTATACTTAAGTGGTTGTTTAAAATTTACTATGGCAGATATTTAAGAAATACATAGAGATAGAGTTGCAACTTGGTAATATAGATCGTTGCAGAACACTCTATGAGAAATATCTTGAGTGGGCTCCTGCAAATTGTTATGCTTGGAGCAAATATGCTGAGCTAGAGAGGTCCTTAAGTGAAACAGAGCGTGCTCGTGGTATATTTGAACTAGCTATTGCCCAACCGACACTTGACATGCCTGAGTTGTTATGGAAGGTATTTTTTATACCACATGTTTTTTCTTCTTGTCTTTTATGCTGCTTGTATTTTATCCTTATAAAAAAGACTATCCTTTCATTTTGATTGTGGAAGATAGTTGTAACAAGTTATATGGGAATGCAAAATTTTTTTTTTTTTGTATTTTAGAACAAGATTGAGTATTTGAAATTTGAACATTGCGAAATAGCTATGTGAACCTTTTGAAATTCCTTTTTTTTCAGCAGTCCATGTAAAATAAGCGAAAATTAACAATGGATATCTCAGTCAGATGCAACTGAAATTGATAACAAAATATCAATATTTTGGATGCAAATTTTATATGATGAGAAGAAATCATTGTTTCCATAAATTTTAAGTTTTTTGACATGTCATATGTCATCCATCATAATACCTTTTTTGTCAGAGAAAGCTAGTATTAGAGCAATTTGTTTCCTTGTGAAAACTTGTGTTGATTTTTCATATTGTACTTTATTGGTCACCCTGTTGTTTAAATTTTTAAAAATGCCAAATGAATTAACTTTACTTCAATTCTACTTTGCTTTATAGCTAGCCCTCTCCATCCATCATCATAATGAACCCATGATTTATCTTGCATCATATTTGATATCTAAGCCAATTTTTTTCTTAGGAAACTTCTTGTGTAGTAGTTTTCTATATTGCATTTTCTGTGTCACCTTACAATTTGAATTTTTAAAAATACTAATAAATTTAATTTTGCTTGAAACTTTATGGATGTGATCTTAAGCATATGTGAAGTCACTTTAAATTATTTCAAGTTAATCAAAATTTGATGGATGCCCAAAACAGTTGTATACTTTTTCTAATTCTTGCATATTTTTGGCATTTTCTGGCGATATTGTTACTATCTACATCTAAATTTTATGTTTATGTAGTTGACTTTTATTAGCTTGATGTCCTGGACATATTTGCTTAGAATAAATTTTTAAATTCCTGTAGTTGATACAATATTTGCAAACACTAATCACTATCACAAATGCTACACCAAAAATTTTAATCTCCACTTATCTTTAAAGGCTACTCATAGTTGTTGCCCCCACCATGGCTAAGCGCATGATCACAGATGCGAGGAGATTCTCCTTTGTCTATAAGAACAATTATAGGATCTTACCCTCTTCCATTAACGAGACAGCTTATTAGCCCAAACTGAGTTTAGATGCTAAGCCTTCCAAAGGAGTGATATCCTTGTCACTATGAGAAACCTTCCCCAAAGGTTTTGACCAATTGTTTATTGCCTTAAGGCACTTGAGTGCATCAAGCTCAACTGTCATGTTATGACTAATTATGTAAGGGTTTTATTCATAAGAATTTGTTCCCTTGTGTTGTTCTGCTCTTCTTACTTCTAAGAAGCATGGAATCTGATGCATGTGCATTGAAATGTGTCATGAGATGTATTTTGGCTCTTCATTGGTGTTTCTTTAGTTGTCTTTTTTTTTTAGGATATGTTATTTTTTAGTAAGACTCATGTTGATAACATCGATCACTTAAGACAAGCTTTTGAGTTCTTTTTGCCATAAAAATTACATATCTTTGTAAAGGGGTGCACCATCATGACTTCTTCAATGGTCTTCTTAGTTTTTTTTTTTGGTTTCTAACACAAGCGTCTCAGCTAATCCTGAGGAGGTCTGCGCTATTAAGGATTGGCCTATGCTAGTTCTATTCATGATGCATTGATGTATTGACTTTATCCTTGTACTATGGGTAGGTAAGATTCGATATTTGAGTGGATTGCTTTTTAAAAATGACACAGTGCCTAATATAAAACATTTGATGAATTTCACATTCTATTCCTTAGTAAAGTTATGGGACTATACTGTCGGGCCAAGGCTATAACCTTTTAAGATGTTTTGTTCATGAACTATTTAAGGAAGATGGCACATAACTCATTTTCTCTATTGCTTATCACCATCAAACCAATGATTAAAAGAAAGTTGTCAATAGAAGCTCAAGTGATCTGTCTAGGTGTCAAGTGAGATACCACTTATTGGTTGGGATATGGTTTTGTGCTTTCACTGTGTTTGCATATAATAATTTTATAAACATTTAAACTCATATAAGACCTTTCCTCATCATTACTAGATATGAACCTATGAAGCTTATAGATTTAGTAGATTTACCCACATCATATAGGGTTAGTAAATTTGCATCATAATGTGTCCAAAACATGTATGATCTTCAAAAATAAAAAAATAAAAAATCAAGAAAAAATGGCAATAACTTATGGAAATTATAAATATAATGTTGATGATTCGCATGTGAAGCTTATTAAATTTGTTGTGGGAGATAAAACGTCTTAATTTGTATTCTATCAAACAATTTTCTTACAAGACATCCTAGGACTTAGGAAGTCATCTACATAAAATTCTTGACCGTATAAGATTGCATGATAATAAGTGTGATAACACTTACGACTTACATCTACCTTTAGATATTGCCATGTCACTAGTATTTAACATAGCCAACTTGACTTTATTTCGAGAGTCGATTAGTGACGCTTTACCTCTTTGCCCTTCAACTTTTTCTTCTCTTAAGATATTAGTGACTGCTGTTACATTTGTTCTTACACCGATATTGTTTTGACTTGCTATGCTCTCACATTCTAGATTAGATCCTTGATGATTTGATTATTTTCACTATTGGTGGTGGAATTGGATGCCCACCTACTCGGATGAAAATGTCTCTCAGCTCCCTAGGACTCTTGATTGACAATTAAGGTATTGCAATTTTTTGGTTCATGCTACTTGAAGAGTTTTAGGATCTTCATTTGTCGTAGTTGAACTCTTTGAAGCTAGGTCGTGTTGATGTAGAGCATTGTCGTTGTCATTACCATCACAAAGTTTAAATATTGTGCACCTAGGACATTCTAGTTACACGTTTTTATTCTACTTATGTTTTCATTTTGTTGGACCCTTGCATTTTTTGTCATTGTCATGATGTATTTTGAGCCTTGTGTGCTATCGAGCCATTTTAGTGTTTTGTGACTTGTATTGTGAGCCATACGATGTATTGTGTCGTGCATTTATATTATTGTTTTGACAAGTTTTTACTAATCCACTATGCTTTAGAATGATGATAGATGGTAGTTTTGTGTGAAACTTTTACCATCTTTTGGCCTTTTTAATGGCTTCATCACCATCATTGTGTCTTCTTTGTTACTTTTCTGTGACTTCATCTTCTCTGCTTTAAATGTGCTTGTTTTTTGTGTTAGTTAGCTATATATATGAGTCCCTTGTACCTCTGTAAGTAATGAATAAATAAATGATGACATGAAAGTTTTAGTTTTCTTACCTATTCTTGAGTTTGTGTGCTTTCTTTGTTGAAGTGAAGGACTTCCTAGCAAAGGTGGTGCTTATACTTGGTGAAGGTCTAACAAGGATTAGGAGATTGCTAGTAGACTAAGGATTGCTTGTTATAACAATCATACAGTTGTTTGAATATCATTCTTATTTTCATATTCTTTCTTCTCTTTATGTCGCCTCATTTATATTTCATCAATATTGCCCTCTCAGTGGTTGGCTTAGATTTAAATCCAAATCAATAAGCATTAATATCTCTATTTATAAGCAACTCTAATTTTCATTGTGATTTGCTTGGTGTAGTCTTCTAGATATGTATTGAATCTAACTTAAATTTTAAGTCTTCCGTTCTGTAATTCTGTTTCTTCCAATATTAGTTTTTTGCTTTTCCCCAATTGTTTATGCTTTAATTAAATTTTCTTATGAAGATCTAAAGTGAGCCCCCTTCATTATTATAATGTACTCATAATTTGTTTTGCATCAATATCGGATATATCCTGATCTTTATACCGGAATGCTAAATTTTGCTTCAAAACTTCAAAAGCATGTTTAAGCTTTAAGTAGGGGGATTTTCATTATATCACGGTGTTGCTAACTTGCCATACATCTCAGGCATACATAGACTTTGAAATATCAGAGAGTGAGTTTGAGAGGACGAGACAACTCTATGAAAGGCTTCTTGATAGAACAAAGCACTTGAAGGTATGGATAAGTTATGCCAAATTTGAGGCCTCTGCTGGCTTAGATGGTTCGGATAGAGATGGCAAGGAAGAACTTGAGAATGGTGATATATCATATCAGGAACAGCAAATAGAGCGGATTCAAAGATGCCGAAGTAAATTAAGAGCTTTTTGTTTTCCTTGTTAAAAAATTAGTGTTTTACCTTGGTCATAACATTTCCTTTTTGCCAGGTGTTTTTGAAAGGGCATTTGATTACTTCCGCACATCTGCACCTGAATTGAAGGAGGAAAGAGCGATGCTTTTGGAGGAATGGTTGAATACGGAAACTGGTTTTGCAGATCTTGGTGACGTATCTTTGGTTCAAAAGAAATTGCCCAGGAAAGTAAAGAGAAAGCGAGCCATTTCATTGGAAGATGGAGCTCCTGCTGGGTAGGTTTATTTGCCTTTTCTAAATAATTTGGTTTTTGATGGTTGATTGATTTGCTTAGCTTGGTATTTTTCTTTACAGAAAATGGGCTGCTTGATATTAGAAATTGCGCTAACATTATTATTTGTGCAGATATGAAGAATACATTGATTACATTTTCCCTGATGAGGTGGCGATGGCACCTAATCTTAAGATACTCGAAGCTGCCTACAAATGGAAGAAGCAGAAAACCGGATCAGATGAGGACTGACGTAATGGTATTCCCCTTTACCAAAGTATCAAATAGTGTTTTTAAACGTTATTCATCATCTAGAATGACATAAGCAGGGCTGATAATTATATCCAAAAATCGAAGCATGCTTGAATTTTAATCGACTTGAAATTGTAATTGATTTGCTACGATTCAAAGTTGCTTACTTGAAATTAGTTTGTTCAACTCAAAATTAATGCGATTAATACACAAGTGTGTCCTCCCACATATATTTATATGCATATGCATTTATTTTTATATAAATAAACACATTATATTTATACATATATAAATACACTTCAATATTGTATTACTTTAAAAAAAATAATAAAGAGAAGTATTTAATTAAGAAAATATTTTAAAAATTAATTGGCCACTTGAATTCAATATCTTCAATTTTGAGTCAAAGTCAACTGGCTCAAATTTGACTCAATTACCCATAAAAATTATTTACTTGAATAATTTGGGGTATTATACAACAACAACAACATCCTGCCTTTATCCTACTATGTGGGGTCGGCTGAATCAAGGTTTAAAATTGCGTAAATAAGCCTCGAGGTGTTTTTCGTCCGTGAGGCGAGGCGTAAGCCTCGAGGCGGTGTGAGATTAAGAGTCAAATTCTCATTAAATCTAATTGAAAAGGATTATTTTTAATACTCTCTAACCAAAATTTTTTAGGTTTACCATTACCTTTCTTAACATAGGTAAGAGCTAAAATCTTACTCTCCTAATTAGGTCATCGGAAGGCTTATGTTTTATGTGAACAAACCATCTAAGGCGACTCTCCATAATCATACTTTACATTGGAGGCGGAGCTACTCCAACTTTTTCATGTACATATTTGTTCCGCATTCTGTCTCTAAGAGTAAAGCCACTCATCCGCCTGAGTATACTCATCTCTGCAACTCTTAACTAATTTTATGCTTCTCTTTTAATGACTATTATTATGAGCCATAAAGCACTGCAGGTTTCACCAACATTTTATATAATTTTTCCTTAAGTTTGAGGGTGTGTTTCTATCACACAACAGACCCGATGCATTTCTACACTTCAACCATCCAACTTGATTTCTACTAATAATATCCCCATCTATTTCACCATCACTTTGAACAATAAACATAAATGTGTACTCTTTTTAATGACTTAATTGCCCAAAGTCATAATCCCTCTACTAGATTTATTACTACTGAAATTACACTCGATGTATTCGATTTTAGATCTACTCAAGTGAAAACTTTTAGACTTTAAGGTTGACCTCCAAAATTCAAGTTTTCTTTCAACTCCCTCTCTAGTCTTATCAACAAGAAGAATATCATGAGGAAAAATCATACATCAGGGTGCGTTCTCTTGCAAAATGTCTAGTAAGAACATGTATGACTAAAGCAAAAAGATATGGGTTTAAACCTGATCCCTGATGTAATTCAATTGAAGTAGGAAAATACTTGGTCAAACCACCTCGTGTTTGAACACAAGTAAGAACTCCTACATACATATCCTTAATGACTTGAATGTAAGCATTATTAACTACTTCCAAAACTCTTTTGAGCACTTCTCTTAAGACTTTATCATATGTTTCCTCTAGATTAGTAAATTTCATGTCTTCTCCCTATACTTCTCTATCAAATCTCTCAATAAATGTATAGCTTCCATAGTAGACCTATCCGGCATGAATTCAAATTGATTTTGAGAAATATTAGTATCACGTCATATCCTATGCTCAATTATTCTCTCCCATAGTTTTAATGTATGACACATTAATTTAATTTCTCTATAATTCACATACTCTTGTGTATTACCTTTATTCTTAAAATAGGAATCAACACACACATTATCCACTCATCTGACATCTTTTTATTCTTCAAAATAATATTAAAAAGTTTAGCAAGTTAAATAAATTCTTTAATCTCCTAAGCATTTTCATACATTTACTGGATTATCAATAGGTCCAACTGCTTTTCACACCTCATTTTCTTTTAAAATTCTCTAACTTCAATTTTACTAATATGATAATAAAAATAAAAATTTTTATTTTTATTTAGTGTGCTTAGGTCACTAAAGTCATATTCTCACAATTTTGAAAAGTTTATCAAAATATCTTATCCACCTATATTGAATATCCTCTTTTAATAAAAATGCTTTTTGATCTCCATCTATAATACATTTCATTTGAACTGTATCCTTATTTCTCCTATCTTTTTGCTTGACTAACTTATAGATACATCTTTCGCATTTCTTAATATCTAATATATTATATAAATTATTAAAAGCTAAAATTTTTGCATCATATATTGCTTTATACTCTGATAGAAAATATCCGCCAAACAGAGGAAAAATTGCTGAATTTCAGAGAAATTCAGCAAGCAACGTGCAGATTTTGAAAACCCGAAGAAAAATAATGAAGAAGAACACTTGAAATTCACTAATAGGAAGAAAAGAACAACCCGATATAATGAATCTTAAATTGAGAGGAAAATTCAGCTCTCCAAATCTCTAGCCAAAATTTAAAGCACAAAACCCAAGCCAAGATTTCAAATTCAGTTTTTAAATTCAAGATAACCCTAACCCTAGCAAGAAGAGAATAATTAAAGCAAATGGACAAATAGTTAATCCCTAAACAACCCCTAATTTGAATTTTCCCTCCAACTCAAAACTTAATTAGTGCGTGGGCCCCATCTCCAAATATAAAGTCATGGGTAATTACAAAATCAATTATATATATTCTTCCATTGAATTTCTATCCCCAACTCTATTCCCACCATGAATCCTCTCTTAATGCATTCTATTAGAAACATGTCTATTTAAGTCATCTTCTAGTAAATACTCTCTCTTTGTCATGCATACATTGTAATGGTTCATTCATTATTTTTTAAAACTATATTCTAATGCAAATTGAGGGGTAGAAGCACTGATCACATTTCTATGCCATCATTAATTTATTTAATAGCAATCACCCTATCATTAAACTTACCTCAATAATTTTATCTTTCAACTCTCTATCCATTATTATTCCAACCTTATTATTATTCATAACCATTCAAACATACAATAGCATTTAACATATCCAAGGTTTCTTTGTTTTTCACCTTTCACGTAAAACAACGGACTCCCAAGGACCCAGTTAGTAAAGTAGAGGTATTAGATTTGACTTATGTTAAGAATGTTAGATGTAGGCCTAAAAAGGCTTAGTTAGAAAAATATTAGAAATGACATTTCTTTATTAGATTTAAATGAGAATTTGACTCTTAATAGGACACAATGGAGAAAAAAGATTCATGTAGCCGACTCCACGTAGTGGGATAAAGGCTTGTTATTGGTGGTGTATCTTAAAACCAGTGTGTTGTTAAATTATTGTCTTCTCATTTAAAGTTCCTTAATTTCATGTGGTAAATCTAAACGTAGTTTTAGACCTACTTAATATTCTCTTTTCACCATATTGGACAATGTTTTATATGCCACTTGTAAGTGTTCTAGCCTACCATTTCTTAATTTTATCACAATCGGGCTTAAGTTGTGACAAGTTGCTTTTGTGGGTTGCCTATTTTTCATCATGGTCAGATTAAGTTCTGGCACATCAGTTGTGGTTGCCTTCCTAGCAAATCTTCAAATATGTTTTTACTCTTTAGGAGGAGATTTATTATTATTCTTTCAAGCAAGGTAATTTGAATACTTGAAACAAGTCAAATGGCTGTACATTGTTTTTTTTATTAGATCTTATTTGGTTTCCTTTCGTAATCTCATAAATATGCATTCTTTTAGTAAAATTTTAGGTATTTTCTCATTGCTTGGGGCACGCAATGAAAGAGTAATCAAATTGCTTGTTTCTTTATTATTGTTGGCAATCGTCCTTGCTTGTTCTGCAAGAAGTGTCTTGGTAACCTTCTTGTTTTAATTTGTTTAGGCTCTCATTTTTTAGATACAATAGTGAAGTAGTCTAGTTCTGAAGAAATTTTTAGTACAAAAATACAATTTTTTAGATACAATAGTGAAGTAGACAGTTCTGAAGAAATAATTTTTTTTTTCAGAGAAATAAAACCTTAGTGGCTTTGGAAGTTCTTTCCATGATGATCAGCTAACCCTTCCCATACTTGAACCTAAATTTGTTGTTCCTTTGTTATATACCATTCAACTGTGGTGCATTTGCATTTTTTTTTGTTAATTCAAACCTTATATTAAGGTTTCATTTGGGACGGCTTTCTTACAGCTTCTTAAAATAACTTTTTAATACAAAAGTAAAAAAATTTTAACTAAAAAATTGCTTTAAAAAACAGTAAGAAAGCCGTCCCAAACAAAGCCTAAATGACTTGTATATGCTATGTAGTTATTACAATTGATCTAATTAAATATGCTCTTTGCCAGCAGGTTTTTGGTTTTGGTCAGTGTGGAACTTGTGCCGAGCATATCAGTTGCCTTTGGCCAACCTTTTCTTTTGTATTTATAGTGTACATATAAAGCTTGTTGGTCCCGATTCTGATCAAAGTGATCAAGCAAATGTCACGAATTGCTCAATGGAGATTTCTATCATGCACAGTGTTATCCATTGATGATTGGAAAAACGGATTCTTCAAATGTAAGATGTGTACACTAAGGCGTTAATCAGTAATGAAGAATCACTATTTTTGTGATGGAACGCTATAGGGAAGAGCATATGAATCCATACTTCATTAGAAAATGAAAACCTTGGACATGGAAATCAGAATTTGTTAGCTATTGCTTCGGAACGGCGATTACTGTGAGAAATTATTCTGTGAGTTCGAATATAATTTTTCGTCCGAACTTCAATAAAGTATTGGCACGTATGGACCGACGACCCGATGATCTAGAGGTGAAGTTTTAACTCTGTTCGTAAAAATTTTAAAATCGCGGCAAACTAAAATTTTAACATAATTGCAAGAAAAATAATATAAATATTAAAAGTTCATGTGTCATATTTCATTGGAGTATGGAGGCAAACTAAAATTTTAACATAATTGTAAGAAAAATAATATAAATATTAAAATTCATGTGTCATACTTTCATTGGAGTCTGGACGTTATTACACGGAATAATTTTTCGATTATTTGATTTATGATTCTTGTTGTATGCGTATTAATGCGGTTCAAGGGGTTTGGAACTATGTTTCATTCTACTTCTACAAGGTCGAAACTATGAGAAGGGAAATAGAGGAAGGTGATGAAGTTAGCAAATAAATAAAGGTATCTTTATTTAATTTTAACATAATTGTAAGAAAAATAATATAAATATTAAAATTCATGTGTCATACTTTCATTGGAGTCTGGATGTTATTACACGTAATAATTTTTCCATTATTTGATTTATGATTCTTGTTGTATGCGTATTAATGCGGTTCAAGGGGTTTGGAACTATGTTTCATTCTACTTCTACAAGGTCTAAACGATGAGAAGAGAAATAGATGAAGGTGATGAAGTTAGCAAATAAAGAAAGGTATCTTTATGGCTCGACATAATTTAGTGGACATAATTGAAGAAATCCTACCTAAAGAAAAGCAAAGTGAAAAAAATAGAAAGAAATCTTTTTAACAAAAAGTTTTTACCTTATATTGTATTAGCTACGTGAATTTTATTTAAATCTAATAATTTTATTTGGAAAAATTTGTATCAAAATTATTTTGATTAAATTTTTTTATCAAAATGTGTCAAAATAATTTTGTATTTATTTAAAAGTGTAATATATAAATAATTGATTTTATATTAAATTTAAAGCAGAATAAAAAAAATTTAAGATCCTTTTTAATCATTAGAATATGTTTATGCAGTTTTTTTTTTCAATTTATTTGTAGTAGTCAAGGCAACATAATGGCCTAATTACGAAATATGGTTAATTGGTTAAAGGTGAAAATCTTCCCGTAAACCTGCGCTTGAAATGCTCAGACACTCCAATTAAAAGAACAAAAAAGAAAGAGGCCTCAAAGCGTCAGCTATGGATTTGTGGTATGGGTAGCCCATTAGGTCGGCTGGAGTTTACGGACCGTCAAGCGCACTTAACGAAGTCGGGTGTGACAGCATACGGTTCCTAGTCATAAAAAAAAAGAACAAAAAAGAAAACACATAGTGACAAAAGAAATCGACGGCTGTTTTTTTATTCCCTGTGCATACCAAGCACAATCTTCAAAAAGGACCTCGGAGCAAGTAATCTAAGAGTTCGTTTGTTTTTTTGGTGCTTTTGTAAAAGACAGTTTTAAAAAACATTAATTCAGAAAATGAAGTTTTCTAACGGAGAAGCATATATAAAAAGCTTTCTCAAAACAGCAGAAAAATGAAAAAAAGAAGTTATTAGGAACGTGATTTGAAGAACCAAACAACACAAAAAAAAAATTCCTCCGCTTCAAAAAATGGAAAAGGCAAAAAAATGCTAAAACAAACAAAGCCTAAGAAATGCTCAAATTCTTCTGGATTTTTTTACTGTTTTTTAATATAATTTTTTTTTTTAAATTGAAAGATGTTTTAGAAAATAGTGAAAAAATTATCCCAGACAAACCTTAATCTCATGATCCATTTTGGCAAATTTACCTACTCTCCAAACCAATCAGAGATCTTGCATGCAAATTTTATTCACCATTTATGAAAAACAATAACATCATTAAAAAAAGAGGACTCCTTTGCTTGCATTGTAAGCATGAAATAAACTTAAATTGCAAACCCACTCATAAAATTTTCAAAGTTTCTTGGCTCATTGCTTCTATGTAGATGAACTTTGGAGGAAATATAACTGTTGATCTTTCTCAAATTTCTATCTTAGGGTTACTGATCATGTGTAGAATTGATGTATCAAATAAAATTTAATTATTTTTGAAACTGATAAAATGAAAATGGAATCATTGATGCAGTACCAGATCACCTAAAAATACATAAGCCACATAATTATATATCAAATATCCCAAAATAAGAATTTGACTGATAGAATAATAATAATAATAATAATAATAATAATAAGTTATTAGGCAGCTTCAGGCATCCTAATTATTATTGATTTGTGGAATTGCTGGTTGGTGTTGAGTGATGCAGTGTATGTTTCCACCAGCAAGACAAATTTCCCTTGCACCTTGGATCATTACTACCTGATAAAAACATCAAGTGTACTCAACTTCACTTGAGAACAGGACTTGGGATGAAAATTAAATTTATGCTTGATTTGGGACGGCTTTCTTATTGCTTCTTAAAGTAGCTTTTAAATACAAAAATTTTAATTTTTTACTAAAAAGCTGTATTAAGTAGTAAGAAAGTCGTTCCAAATGAAGCCTTAATCTACAAATAAAATAGAAAACCAAATCATACATGGAGGGTTGTTTCATCTATTAGAAGGATGTAACATCAGCATGTAAAGCAATTTTTTTGTGTTTGAATTTAAGTTGTTTTTGTTCAAAGATCTTATGTCGAATAAATGTAATGAATACAAACCAGGCCATTTTGGAGGGTTACATCATCATCATCACCAACACCATTATTAGCCTAATCCCAATTAATTGGAGAGTTTGATTTTATGAATCCTCATTAGTCAATTATTTTCACTTGGTGTTGCATTAATCTTAAATTTTATTTTTTGCAAAATTTGTTACACAATTTTTGTCTATGTACCTTGGATTTATTCATGTTCTTTCCTGATCCTCCAACACTAACTATCTTATCTATTTATATTATACTATTATTTGTTATGCTCGAAGTCTATTTTTACTATCTTCAATAAAATCTACAATCATGTTCATCTATGATATAGTTATTTCTCAACCTATCCTTGTCAATTTTACCACAAATCAATCTTAATATTTTAATTGCTGTTATTCTCAGATTAATCATTAATAAATTTTTTATCACCCGAAACTTAGATCTATAGAACGTAACCCATTTGATTGCAATCGTATAAAGTATATATTAAAAACATCTACATATATTTGGGTTTAAATTTGACATCCACAAAACAACCTTCGCAAGCAAGAAGAGATAGGAAGAAGAAAAAAATGTGATGAAAACATGTAAGTGGCGCACCTTATGATCCGGAAATACCGACGAAAGTATGTGAAAAGCTTCTTTATCCCATTTCTCATCACCAAATGCTGGTGCAATTATTCCTCCATTTGCAATGTAGAAGTTGATATAAGAAGCAGCGAGCCTTGTACCTGCTAGTCTTGGTTTGGCATTTTCATCCTGAGAACAACAACAATAACAACAACAAACCTTTATCTAAAAAAAAAAAAAACAACAACAACCACAAACCTTTATCCCACTTCGTCCAGTGAACATCGAGGAAATATTAAGCATAATCATTATATATATATAAAAGAGAGCGATGCCTAAGGAATCACATATAAGTTTGAAAAGATCCAAAAAAATTATTAGTAACAGGGATGAAATAGCATGTAATGAATGTTGAGTTAAACGTGCATTTAAGAAGCCAACAAAATGTTGAGTTAAAAGACCATGGTTTAAAAGCATTTGTCACACCAACAATTTGTGAAAAAGATCAGTTGGATCATATTATAGTAGCAGATCATGTCAAGTGGGTGAGCAAGAGGACTTAAGGATCAATATATGATGAATATGAGGGATGACAAGGATGATGGTACAAGAGTCGCTCATCAGAAGTCTCCTCAAAATGCAAGAGAGGTTCGCAAGCTTGTATGTATGGATATTGAAATATTCACTTATGAAAATGCTATTCCATTTAAAATTGCAACCTCAACATGATCCCTTTTATAGATTCCCATGGTTGAGGACTATGTATGAGCTCAAGACTTGGATACTAAAGGAGAAATTGAAAAGCACTGATAAAGTTGTCAATGAGGAGATTAGAACTTAGAAACATAGTGGAGTTACTATCATTTATGATGTTTGATTTGATATTAAGAATATAAACTTGATTAATATTTTGATTAACAATTCTACAATATTTTTTTTTAAACCAGTTGAAGCAACAGATCAGGCAAAGGATTCAGAGCAGATTTTTGGGCTTCTTAGTGGAGTCATAGAGGAGATTGTGTAGAATTTAATGGTGCAAGTTGTCAATGACAATATCAGTGCTTATATAGTGGCAAGCAATAAATTAATGGAGGAAAAAAAGCATATAAAAGCACACGTACTATGTCCCTGGAGTGAGATTTTTTGAGAGTTATCATACAGGCATTTATGCATTATCATTTTATTTATATTGTCTATATTATTTCATATTGATGTGTAGCAATCATCTGACATGATGTTGACCTCTACAGCAAATCCAAAAAAAAAAAAATCAAATAAAAAATCTCTGCCAACTAGTCGAACTCAACCTTGCTCTTGCCGCAATCTTACCTGAATCCAACCTGTACCCAATGCCTCTTCCGACCCAATCCACCACCTCATCCAGCCGATTCCTACAGTGACCCATGACAAAAAGCCCATAGCCGAACCTACTCTTCCTCCTCAAGCCGCTCCCCATCCGAGAAAAACCCGACATTGCCTCCTTTCTCTCCCTTGTCCGACCACAGCTCCAGGCCGAACCCAATGAGAGCCGCATACCCTCCGACCTTTCTCTCAAGCCTTGATCACTGTCTGATAGCTCAAACTAGTTGTATCACGTTGCATTGGGAAGAGAACTGAAATAGTGGATTTGAGGTTGGAGTAAGAGGGAACCTGATGGCAGCAACTCTACTTTAAGAAGAGTGGGTTGAAATAGCAATGGAGGTCAATGAAGGGCATGAAAAGAGCAGATGTACGAGGAAGGTGATCAATGATAGAGTTAGCCTATGGAGATGGTGATGGTACTATTGGAGGAAGAATTTAATCAGAGACGAAACAAGTGAAAAGATGGTGGCAGTGGAAATGGAGGAAAATAACAGAATGATAGATGCAGAAGAAGTTGGAGGGGAGACGATGGTGGTGGCCCCTATGGAAGCTGGTGGGATTTTAGTGGCGGAAAAAGGGGAATATCATATGGAACTAGACGATTGTGCAGTGTAGCGCTGATGGAGATTGCAAGATCACAGCAATTGCTGAAGTAGGAACAGGAAATGATTGAGGCATTTACAAGGAATTCATCGGGATGGCAGAGAGTAGTGGAGTTGTTGAATGTAAATATGTAATGTGAAGAAGAGGAGAGTATTAAGTTAAGGACCTAAATATCTTTTTTTTTAACAAAAAGGACAGAATTGATATTTTTAGGAATAACATATTTTTTTAATATTAGCTACTTACAGACACAATTTAAATGTCTTTTGGAAATCAGCAAATTCCATATATCATCTTTAGAATGTGAAGGAAAAAGTTGCAACATAAAGAAATGTGCCAGAGCAAAATTCAAAACGACCTATTGATATTGAAGAAGTGTACCAGCATAGATTAATAAAAGCTATTGCACTAACCAAATTTCGAATGCCATTTGCTTCTTCTTCTGTCATATAAAGTGGGCCAGGTACATGAAGCTTAATTACATCTATTTTCCTATTATTGGCATCTTTAGTGTTTGAGAGAATTGACAAAGCCTCAATTGACCGTTCATATTGAGGATCCTTTTCATCATCTGTCCATGCTAAAAGCACCAAGCCTGGCTTAACAAAGCAACACATGTTGTCAATATGACCATTGGTGTCATCATCACCTACAAAAAAAGACAACTAGCTTGAAGAACAGAAGAAAATTGGCAATAGGAGGGAAAAATAAATAAAGGGGGATTTATAAAGCTGATCCCAAAATGTTGGGAAAAGGATAATGAAGATCACGACAAAGTGCGAAAAGCATGATGATAACCGAGAAGAAAAAAAAAATAGAAATCTATTAATATATAAGGCCTCATTCGATTAATTGTAAACAGAACATATTATCGAAAACGAAATCTTGTTTTTCTTCATTTTGAGTTTGAAAATGAAAATATCATTTGCGAGAGAGTTCTGAGAAGATTAATAGAGTTTGAGATCATTGTTGGTGTCCAACTATATCCCAAACAATTGATGGATTTAAAAAACTCAATTATTTTTTTCTAAAATGATTTCTAATTTCAAGCAAATAAATGAGCCCTAAGATACTTACAATAGAGTCCCCTAGGCAACCAAATGACCTTCTTGACACCAAGATACATCTTGAGTTCATTCTCAATTTCTTCCTTGGTCATTTTAGGATTCCTATTTGGGTTAAGTAAACATTCTTCAGTTGTAATGCAAGAACCTGAGAAAATAATCAAGACATCAGAAATATAAAAAACCAGCTCAAAATTTACGTATCTAATATGGATATTGTCTTTTGTAAACTGGCACTACTGAGACTTAATATTTTAGGGTTTAGGGAATGTGATTTTGGTAGTTGGGTATGCATGAATTGGCCAAAAATGGCATCCTGATCCTTAGAGACATTTTGGAAAGCACCTTGTGTGCATTTGTCTGCTTCCTCATCATCATTAATGATTATATCCATGAAATTTACCCACCTGCTTGTTGTCCTTCCATTAACATTCACATCCATCACAAAATTCTCTTCCAAACCAATACAATCATTCAAAGACATTTTTTTTCCGCCATGATATTCATTCAAATTTCAAAGACATATTAGTGTCCACACTCGGGACGTTCAACTTTGGTTCATGCACTTGCTTGTGGACTTCCCTAGTTAATTCTTGCACGAATTCATTAGCGTCCTCCAGCTCCTGGTCATAGCTAGCTGCATCACTCTCAGACATGTCCTCACTGTCATTGCTAGCAACGTTGCTAGCCATCATTTAATCACTTAAGCTGCTATGTTCAAGTTCCTATGCATTCCGATCACAAGCATTCAAATAGAAGTGTCCGTTTCGGGCTATGATTTTCACCCAGTTGTATATATGTCAGCCTCGTCTCGCAACATAACCGTCGACGCATGAAGAATGAAGGCTTGATCAACAATTCTTTGGGGTGATAAGTGGCCACCATTGTTCCTATTCATGGTAAGAGGATTTCATTTTGCTTGTTCTAAGCTCAATGACGAGGAGGGGGAGAGGTATTTGTCTACCAATGAGCTTACCCACTAAAGCTTTCTCCAACCTAGAGATGTTCTCATGGACAACTTCAAATTTGGGTTTCATAGAAATACCATCTTCTAAAATGATCTCATCAAGTGATACATATTGTAGCTTACTCTATGCATAAGGTCTACTAGGCAGGCCACTTTGTAGTTGAGAATAAGCTTGAGAATAATTGTGACAGTTTGGTGTGCATGAATTGGCCAAAAACTACATCTTGATCCTTAGAGGCATTTTGGAAAGCACCTTGTGTGCACTTGGTTGCTTCCTCATCATCATTATTGGCTATATCCATAGAATTTTCACACCTGCTTGCCCTCCTTCCATTAACATTCACATCCATCACAATTCTCTTCCAAACCAACACAATTGTTCAAAGACATATCAACGTCCACACTCGGGAAATTCAAGTTCGATTCACGCACCTGCTCATGGACTTCCATGGTCGATTCTTGCATGAATTGGTGAGCGTCCTCCAGTTGTTGGTTATCTCTAGCTGCATCACTCTCTAACATGTCATCTTTGTCTTTGCTAGCTGCATCGTTAGTCGATATTTCATCACTTGAGTTGTTATGTTTGAGTTCCTGTGCATTCTGATCACAGGCAATTCGAAAAGAAGTGTTTGATTCAGCTATGATTCATACCTAGCTATATCTTAGCAGCCTCATCTTGAGAAAGAGCTACTGATGCATGAAGAATGGAGGCTTGAACGACGTTTCTTTGGAGTGCTAAGCGGCCTCCATCATTCCTCTCCATGGGAAGAGGATTTTGTTTCTCTCGTTCTAAGCTCATTAAGGAGGGGGTGAGGTACTGTCAATGAGCTTACCCACTAAAGCTTTCTCCAACCTAGAGATGTTATCATAGAATGCTTTTAATTGGATTTCATAGAAATATCGTCTTCTGCAATGACCTCATCCTTGCTTATTTTCTCAAGTGATACACTTTGTAGCTTACTTCAAGCGAAAGGTTCACAAGACAGACCACTTTGCGGCTGAGAATGAGCTTGGGAATGCAATTGTGGCAGCCGGGTGTGCATGAATCGGGGAAAAAATGCATCTTGATCCTTAGATGCATTTTGGCAAGCACCTCATGGGATTTGGCTGCTTCCTCATCATCATTAATGGCTATATCAATGGAATTTACACATCTAATTGTTGTCCTTCCATCAACATTCACATCCATCATAAAATTCTCTACCAAACCAGCACTAACCTTCAAAGGCATATTAGCGCCCACACTTGAGTCCTTCAGGTTCGGTTCATGCACCTACTCGCGGACTTCCATGGCCGATTCCTGCACAAATTCGTGAGCGTCCTCTAGTTCATGATCGTTGCTAGCTGTATCACTCTCTAACATGTCCTCATTGTCTTCGCTAACAGCGTCGCTAGTGAACATTTCATCACTCAAGCTGCTATGTTTGAGTTCCTGTGCATTTCAATCGCAGGCCATTCGAACAGAAGTGTCTAATTCAAGTTGTGATTTGAGCCCAACTATATCTATGGCAATCTTTTCTTGTGACATAGCCGCCGACACATGAAGAATGGAGGCTTGATTGACATTTCTTTGGGGTGATAAGCGGCCACCATCGTTCCTCTTCATGGGAAGAGAATTTCATTTCTCTCGTTCAGCTTTGACAGAGTCAAACATACCTGCTATGCTGGTAGCAGGAGCATCACCCAATCTAGGAATGCAAGCTGCATTCAAAACATATCCATGTGATCCAAAGACAGGCCAAGAATCCTTTGATTTATCTCGTGAAGTTCCAGTCATCGCGGACGGAGCACGAATTAATCATCCTTGCTCATTGTGACTACAACCACTATCAAGCTCCTCAAGTACAGAGCAACCAACTTCGAGCACCTTCCAATAGTTACCAGAAGGTGTATTCCTTCTACCCTACCAATGGAGTAGGAAGGAGGTGACCTAGGGCCACCTCCCACAATTGGGAGTTCCTCACACTAGAAATCAAGAGAGAGAAGGAAGAAGAAATAAATGAGAGCTCCCCATTGCAGTTTGGTCCTCATAACAGTGAGTAGATGATGGTGATTGTCAAAAAATTAATACACGGCAATACCGAGTAGGAAGAGGAAGAAAATTGTTGTGGAAGTATTTGATGAGGATGATAGGTGCATTGATTTATCTTATGGACTAGGTGGAAGTAGATATGGTAGGGTAAAGAGATGAACAGTGATCACACTATGGAGAAGGGATTTATTAACAGTAATGGAATAGGCAAAGAACTATCACAATGGAAGCAATAAATACTATGGAACATGTTGACCCCATAAGCCAATGTGGCTCATATGGAAGTATTAGTGATTTGATGATAGCAAACTTTGCGTGGTGTTATCTAATGGGTTTTTCAAATGCTCTATAAGTTATTCAGTTACTAGCTAAATCATGATGACTGTTTTCAATAGGCCTGCTTGGATTTGGCATTTTAAAGATGAGCTCAAGTTGGTGAATCAAAATGTTTTGAGCCTTTGAAGTTTAAAGATAAGTTCAAGATGGTGAAAAATCCACAATCGCTTTTTCATCCACTCAATGGTTCTCAATAAGAGCATCAAAGAGCTGTGAATAGTCAAAAGTTGTCCAACAAGCGGAGGTAGATGTTATTGGCTTAACTTAGACATCCCTGATACAATTCCATGCCAAACAATGTTATAAATGTATTTATATGAATTTATATTAATAATTGGTCTATCTTAGATATTCTAAATGCATACAAAACAACAAAATCTTTTAAAAGGATACAAACATCACCAAATCCTTTAAAGATACACTTAAGATGATTAAAAAAAAGATAAGCAATAATAATTTGAAGTGTAGTTTAACAGGCATTAGGGTAGCAAGTATGAAAAAAAAAACCTTCTCCATCCACATGAATGCTTCCACCTTCAAGAATCATCTGATGTGAAAATCTGGGAAGCCTCTCCAAGGATAGAATCTATAAAAAAACTATAAAGCATATCATATTACAAGAATGCAGACTAGAAATAACTAAAACAGTGCTTTACTGACCTTGCGTGCAACAAGAATATCAAGACTCCAGTCACTATAACAACCATCAGATCCTATAAAACAAGAATGAGGTCAGTAAAACCTTCAAATAATTAGCACGCGTGCACTGAAAATTTTGAGTATAAAGGCTGCCTTGACAATCATCCTGTGGAGATTAGAATATGCGAGAAGGGAAATTAGACACCAGAAGAAAACCAGACACATAAAATAGCTCCGAAAACAAATGATACTTGAAACAGTAGCTTCTCCCGCATCAAAGGTTTACTAAGAACAAAAGTGAGACTGGTATTCCTTCAAACATGTAGTTAACTTCAATCTATCACTGAATTCTTAACTAACTCTTTAAAAGAATCAATCACAAATGATAAAATAATGCAAGAATTTTTTATCATCTTAGAGTAAAACATAAGAGTTCAAATAAGATATAAGAGAGGTACTAGTGGGTCAGAAAAGAAAGAAAAAAACAGCAATGAAATTGCAAACTATGACGTTACATCCCTTATCTTTTTCTTTTTCCCTTTATTTTAATGATACAATAGATTTTTAACATCCTTATTATGAAATTTGACGAGATTTCTCCAAGCTGCAACTTAGAAGCTCAACATGGTATCACAAACTTCCAGGCAACATGACCACTAAGCTTTAATATAGTGTCACATCCAAGGGTTTCCAATTTTAATCTCTTTGATACCAATAAATAAAAGGATAACTGCGGGACATATGTAGAACTCATGAATGATAATATTGGAACTGAGACCATAAGGATCAAGTTTATAAACAATCCTAAAAAGCAAATCCGCAGGAAGATTAATTATGTACTGCTAGTTATGAACTTGAGCTTGCTTTGAAAACCACAACCACCAGCATCCCCCTATGTAGTTAGTCACAAGAATTCCAGCACCATAGTTCCAAACCTGTGATAAGCATGTGAGCTTTCAACCCTTCAACAAACACTCTAAAAGTATTCTTCTGCTGAAACAACATAATAGAAGATCCAACTTAGATAATGAACACTGAATTTATATACACTTCAACTGCAAGAACGGGAATTTAGATCATCTGTCGATACATTATGTGACTAGAGAAGATGGCAAAGAAATGTGTGGAAGAGTATAGAGTGATCAACTAAATATAATAAAGTGGGAAATAAAATTGATTTATATGAAAGCCTAAAGGAGACATACATGCTTAAATCAAAGCATAAGAATAGGCTTTGTATGGTGTTATGAGGAAAGTTTTTAGCTGTAAGGATTTCAAGCATTCAGATTAGTTGAACCGAGAATAAGATTTACATCAAAACATAAGAAACAAAGTTTGTACCAAGAAAATTCAACGAGTTTAATATTCAATTGAGTTGTATTTACTAAGATACTTGCTGCCAGGGACATACATGGCATCCTTTCACACAATAAGATGCTCGCTCTATAGACACCATATGAAAAATCATTTAGAGCATCTGTATTTTCTTTCAAATGACATAATTCTTTTTCAGTCATATTATTCCATATTCATATAAGACATAAGATAAAACAAATTTTGTGCAATATTTAGTACATACCACCCCAGGAATTGAAGTTCCAATCTATGCCAGCAACTTGATATTTTGGGTGCCCTGACTGCGTGTGGCTGTCAGAAATAACAAACTATTCTACAGAATTGTCAAATTAAAATTCCTACAAAAGAAGTTTTGAACAAAGTTAGTAAACAAGAGGAATGAAGAATCTCACAGTTGGTCCAATATCTCGAAACCAGGCATCATTCATGCTCATTTCTACAACTCGAACATTAGGTTTGTCCTTGTGCAAATCAGCAGCCTTGGTGTACTGAATCATGAACAGGTGTGGAAGACAGTGAAAGGATTATAGAGGGTGGAACTGACAAGATACCCAATATTTAACCATGAAACAACTTTAATAACTAAAATGTGGAGTGCTCTAACCTGAGAAGCACTCACACACAGTGTAACAGGCTCAAACTCCGAAATTGTGCTTGCAACATTAGCATACAAACGTTGACCATAATAAGCATCCTCCCTCCAGTTATCTGGTCTTTCCTGAAATAGGATGAATACTAACCAATAAAATTTGAAGTTTTTCCATTCCATGTTACAAAATTTTGTTAAATAAATTACTTTAGAAGAGTAGAAAAAAGTAGTGCTTAAATAAGTTAAACAATATATTGTCTAACTTTGCATGCATGGCCTAGCAGTAATCTAATCTTCTCAGCTATCTCCTCCGTCTTCATCATCATTCAAGCTATCTTCTCCATCATTATATTTTCAGCCATCCATCTCATCCTCTTTTTAATTCATGCTCTTCTTCCTCAAGATTTACAACATGATAACTTGAATCTCTTGCAACTATACTTGATCTATCGTGTCTTCTAATGTATATCCATGTTTCTCCAATGACTATTGTTCCTCATATTTATTTCTAAGTATCATCATGAAAAATTAAACAATCTGAAATGAGCATTAGTAACTACCTTTCCACTCAAGTAAAACATAATTTCTTAATGCTTTGAAGAAGGGAGCTGGCACGATCATTACTGTAGCATGTTCATTCCCTCATCATTGTCTAGCGCTTTAACTTGAGGGTCATCTTATGAAAAAAAAAAATGTCGCATGCCCTCATTATTGGCATTCTATTTCATGTTTAAACAAAATATAGGAGGGAAATGAGAAATAAAAACCTTCATATATGAACGAAAAGTTTTGTTAATTCTTAGGCGAATCATCCAATTCCGCTTAAATCATAGAAGGAATACATCTTTCAAAAAACTGACATAATAAATCTTTGAGAAGGGTTAACACTATCACAATTTCTAATGATGTTCACTGCAGTTCAGCATACTTGTCCTTCCTCCACCCTTTTCCAATAACCCTTCTCCAAAAAACCGAAAGCAACTTGTACTACTCAAATATTTTTTATGTTTGGTAGTTCTTCCTCCCAAATTTCCTTATATTTCAATCATGCCCAAACTCTATAGAGTTAGACTTCATTTGGGACAGTTTTCTTACTGCTTCTTACAGCAGCTTCCTAATACAAATATTTTAATTTTTATACTAGAAAGCTACTTTAAAAAGTAGTAAGAAAACCATCCCAAACGAAACCTTAATCTCAAAAGCTTCAAGTATATAATACAACATACAGCTGCAATACAAACCTTCTACCCAGCAAAACTAGCAGAATGAAACTAAAAATTAAAGAATTGGGAAATTTTAAGAGATGTCGGCCCCCAATAATACTCCAGCGAAATTCAATTTCACAGGCTCATCATAACCGGAGGTAACTCCAAATATCATCCCAAGGGGAAAATAATATGAATTAAGAGCTTCCACATCCTAGATTCAATTTTTCATTCTTTGCTTTATACTTTCAAGGTAGGAGGCTTAAATTTGAAGATACACTGCTGAGGTAAACATCGGTGTTCCATTAACATCAGTACATCAGAGCCATTCCTAAGCACGGCTTACACTCTTATTAGGAGATAGAATTTGGTAAAAGAAAAAATTAAAATAAATAAATAAATACTTTCTTTTGACTGAGAATTTTAAAAGAAAAGAAATTCTTCTTCTATTTGGAGGATCCCAAAACGAGTAAAAAGTGGAATTCGCTTAAATAAAATTTTAACAATGACTAATCATTTCTTTTCCTCTCTTAATTCCTGATCAGAGTGTAAGAATATTCTCCAGACAACAGCTCCCTTCCCATCCATGACAAGCAAGAAAAATTAAAGAGCATCTTGTCAAATCCCTTACCTTGCAGTGAATAGAGTCGAACTAAAATAAGAAGCAAAACAATTATTAGATTGATCACTTCAGCCATTGAATCTAGATAACAAAACCGTAGGGGTTGTAACTACAGAAAATTCTCCCTCCCTTTTTCCGTAAAGCGTTAACAACGAATCTCACCCTAGCATAAGAAAAGGAAAAAAAAGAGTATTAAATTACTTCAGCTAGAACCACCCACTTCATCTCCAACCGAAAATGTCATTTTTCACTCCAAAATGCAGGGAAATCAAAAAATGCCGTGTTTCATCTCCAATCCAACGCCATTTTGCCATCGTTTTCGTTCGCGCCTTTCTTCCCAAGCTGTTCGGTAGAGAGAAAAAAATGCCGCAGATGAACAGTGCAACGCCAATATTGGCGTCGCACTGTTCATCCGCGATCAAATGGCGTCAAAAATGGAGATCGGTTGGAGCAAAGCAAGAACGGCAAACAAGTGTTTGCCGTTCAGGAAGCATCTCCAAGCTAGCCCGAATAAAACCTATTATTCCGGTTCAAATAGAGAACAGAAAAAAGCCCATGATGCTTAAAAAAGAGGCTGAAATCGTCAAAACAGGATCAGTTCGAATAAAGCAATGAACCAGAATCAGAATAGCATCAGAGAATTTCAAAGTACATCAAGTTGATAGAACAACTTTTTTGCTTTTACTTTGCTTTGAAAGATAGAACAAGGGATACTGGGAAAACTCACAGGCCAGCCGATCCAGCATTGCTGATGTGGTTCCCACTCCGCCGGCATACGATAGCCGAAGAAGGCTGGCTTCCCTTTGAAATCTAGCACCATCTCGACTCTGCCTTTCTCCGATGATTCAGATTTCTTTTTAAAGAACTTCCGTCGATACGAGTTCCATCAGAACTACATGCATATTTAGAATTTCACGGGAAATTGGGCGACTAGAAGAGTAAAAAAATAAAAAAAAAAAACATTGGCCCATCTTAGCCCCCCTTTACCGAGCTGCGTAGACGACTTCGCCGGAAGTCACAGCCTCGCTTCGTCGATGATCTTCGCCTGCCAGCGGCGCTTTACCTGCTTGCTAACTTCGCGATCAAAATATATATTTTTAAAAAATAATTCGAAATTTTATATTTTGCACAATTTTAATAAAATTTGTGGAGCTCCGTTGCATCCGGAATAAAGAAATGTCATATAATATATATTATATATATTTATATATATATATATATATATAGTTATATATTAATATATATATATATATATATATAACACAAATTTTAATCAAATATAAATATTAAGAAATATTAATTTTTTTCGAAATAAAATATACATTTGCATATGATTGAGACACTAAAATATCAAAGTCTAGGCGTTGGACATATAAATACATGAAAATTTTGGGGTATATATGTAAATTTTTCTTTATATTTTATTTAAAGAAATAAGAAATATACATGAAAGTTTATATTTGATCAAGTTATTCTTCCTATTATAGGAATATTACTCAAAATAATCGCTCAAAAGTTAAGTGGATTTTTGCATAATGAGTTGCACAATGTTCCTTTTTACCAAAACCTCCTTTCTCTAATAATCTCTAAGCATGTGCGTTTAATCTGAGATAAAGTTTTTATAATGATCAAAATTTTAATTAATTAATGAACTTCTAATTACCTTATTTAAAAATTGATTGTAAATCTTACATAGATGAAATTTTGGATGAGAGCACAGCAACGCTGGCCTCTATCTTGTGAGTTTTGGATTGAACGATGCAGCAGCCTTGGACTTTGGCATTGTAAGGCCGTCTTTTTTATTTTACAACAATCAAAGTTAGTGTTGTGGTGCTGAGGTTTGAAGCGCTGTGACATAAGGTCAATGTAAATGTTTTTTTTTAATAATATATAAATGCGCTATCTAAACGGCGGCCTTGCGATGACCCGGTTAGGAGAGTAGAGGTATTAGATTTGACTTATGTTAAGAAAGGCCAGGTAGGGGTAGACCTAAAAAGACTTGGTTAGAAAATATTAGGAATGACATTTCTTTATTATATTTAAACGAGAATTTGACTTTTAATAGGACACAATGGAGAAAAAGGATTCATGTAGCCGACCCCACGTAGTGGGATAAAGGCTTGATGTTATTGTTGTTGTATAAATGCGCTATCTCATTTTAATACCCAAACTCCATTCCCCTTAGAGACACATTTTGGGATTCATAGTTGGGGTAGAGAAGGAGAGAAGGGAGAGAGAGTTCATGTAACGGTAGAATTTTTGATTTTCATCCTTTTTAACGAAGTTATTATAATCGTGGTAGAAGATATTAACCTTACTTCTATTTTCAATAATTTTAATTTTTTATTTTTATCTCTCCAAAATTTAATAAAAATGCATTATCTCCTGATCTAGCAAACTTTTATCATATAGCTTTTAAAATGTTGTAAATATTTTTACTCTAAGTGTTTTGATATAATATTAAGATTTCAATGGGTAGTTTGCATATAGAACATTTTATTTTAAATGATCATAATAAAGAAATATAAGAAATGGTTTCTAATAATTACATATGTTTCATCTAATATGATATAACATGCATTTGTTGTAGTTCATCTAACATGGCTTATATTTTGACATGAGTATACATACTACATTTCACAATATTAAAATGATCCACATGTTAACATCACTGGATACACAAGATACATGATACATGTTATTATAAATGATAAATGCATGATAAGGCTTATGTAATACTTGCAAACCAGTACACTGTTATGATCCATTTCGGTCTGATTCGATTCGAGGTAATATGTTAAATTTATGCATTTAAACCCTTCAAATGTCTAGGAATATTCTATGTGCATGTGTTCAGAAGTGGGTTTCATGGTTCAGTATGCATTTTGGACAAATAAATTATACCGATAGATTTGCAGTTTATTGTTTCTTTAATCAAATATGTATAGCTAACATCATACTATCTCAAAAGCCATACTAATATTTCACAAACGATTCAATAATATAAACAAGATTTATTTTCATAATCAAACTTAGCATAAGGAATATAATATTCATCTCAAAAGATAAAGGGACATGCACTTATCTTTTTGAAAATGGAACCAACCATGGATTAAAACTAATTTTATCATAATTTTCTAAATAAATTGAACTATTTTATAAATATTTTTATATAATTTTAATGCCCCAAAAGAATTTATATAAATTTTATACTAACAGTTGATTATATTTATACTATATTACTTTTTTATTATAAATATATTATTCCATTTTTATTCATTTAAAAGCTTTTTTTCTCATTTCCTAATTTCCGCTAACATAAAATTGAAAATGAATTTGAGAAAAATTTTGAGACAGAAAATAAAAGTCTAGATTTGGAGAACGTGGATCGATTTTTTGCCAGTCATCCCTATTGTAAAATTTACTCTTCTCGCTATAAGGAGCATTTTTTTTTTAACCAATAACTTTCATTAATCAAAATAAAACGGTTACATCAACGTAAAAAGGAACAAATAAGCTAATAAAAATGAGAATCAAAGAAAGATCCAGGCACAAGAATGACTCAGTTAACTGCCGAGGCTTCCAGCGACCTTGAAGCCAAACACGGATCGTCCAATAAAAGGTTGCCACCAGTAAAACGACAGGGCCGCGAGCACCGACCACATCATTGCCCATAGCCAAGGTCTCTTAGAAGGAAAAAATCCTACTAAAGAAAATTGAAATGGAATAGCAAGTTCAGAAATTTCCAAATCTAAGATCTAAAGAGAAGGTAAACCACGGAAAGTAGAGTGTCGAAGATCCGGAAAAACCGGCTTAACGCCATCAAGAGCCTCACGAAAGGAACGAGCATGCGAAACCCCACCAAACAAACCAGGGTCCTTAAGCTTAGAAGGAGCCATGCCGGAACTCCCGGCGAAACCCTAGAAAAACACTCCAGAACAAAAACCGAGAGCAGGAAAATAAAAACACTTCCCTGAACCTCGGCGGACGCCGGCGAGAGCAGCCCCCCCCAACGGCCGGGGACACCGCGGAGCCAAAACCCCCAAAATCGCAAACCCTAGCAGAAAGCAAAAAGCGAGATAACAAAAAGCTCGCTATAAGGAGCATAATCCTACTTCTAATTTCATTAATAATTTGATATTTTTGGAATTTTTTCAATCAAATTTGTATTTTCGTTATTGAAAAATGATGATAATTTTTTATTTGTAAGACTTTCACCATGTTTTATATACTATAAATATTAAGAATATAAATATTTTGAATATTTATTTAAAAATATTTTACCATATGATTTTGAAAAAAATAGTAATTTTTTTTTTCAATTCATAATATTATTTTGATATCTAAAAATAGTGTTATAGTTCAATTAAAGCTTTAAAATATTATTATATAAGATCTATGATAATTTAGTTAATTTCTAAAAAGTAAAAATTTCTGCTGAGTAGAATTTTTTGTTGTCTATCGTTAGAATATTTTGACACTTTCTAAATTTAGTTCAATTATTCTTTATTTACTATAATGTATTGGAAATAAATATTTGCACATGATTGAGATAGCTGGTCGTTATTAATGTTATAATAATATGTGTATTAGAGAAAGACAAGTAAATACTAGTTGATCCATCGGTTGAAGATTGAGTAACATGTACAGGATGGTGGACCGATGAGCTTTTTTTAAAATATGATGGTTTAGTGTTATTTCTGATACAATGATTCAACAATTGGAAGTTATAATGAGTTATTATTATGCCAACGGGCAAATTGTGATGATTCTGTTTACTGAGCTAACATTTTACTGATACTAATATAATACTGAAAAAATATCAATTAAGACAGGACTTCTTACTTATTTAATATGATTACTGAAATTCATGTTATTGATTTATTATTATTGTATGACTTTAAGATTTATTGTGCGAATTTACTATTATTCTCACAGATTTTAGTGATATTAATATGAACACCATTATTGTTACCCATCGACCATATTACTGATACATTTAATGATGTTACTACTTGTATATTGTTACTACATCACCACTATTATTGATTCACTACATTGTTTACTAGTTAATTCATATTGAACATGTTATTATGATACTATAATGATACTAAAATCGAATGGTTGAGCAGTATGTGTTTACTCTTATACAATTATAATTCTGATAGTCTTTATGGATGCTTTGGTTTTACCACTTTACACAAATCTCAGCTGATGATAGTCCTTATACGATGACTCATTATAGATTTGACAACTGGATTGATTTATTGGCTTCTTTACTGTATTATATTATTGGCTTTCGTACTGCACTATTTTACTGCTTTATAGACTTTCCTTCTACTGTGTGTGAGTTTTATTTTTCTGCAGTGATTCAATAATTATATGAATGATAATGCTATGATTTGATCACTGACATGCATTCATATTACTCATTTACTATGCATATTGATTTAATGATCATTTGGATCGTAGTCAAGCAGCAGATCATATTTTGGGTATAATGGTCATAAGACCATAATTTGGTGACGGACGTAAGAGAATTGTGGTTGGGTAACGATTGTTAGGAGACCATAGTAGGTGGTTGGAGGATGGAGGTCCGACAATGATGTTTGAGCATTGGTTCATCGATAGAAGTTGGACAATGGTCTAATGGAGCATCGAGATTCTTCGAGCCTCTAAGCTCTATCAAAACTCAAAGTTCTCAATTCATGTAGAGAGTGTGTTTATAAATTTTTTAGAATAGCATGCGCCTCAAATATAGTCAAAATCATGAATGCTCAATCAAAGAATCCATATTGATTCTTTTAATCATATATCATTCTTTCATCAATTAAGTGCATTAATGATGTCAGAA